AAGATCTCCTTAGCAGTTTAGCAAAAAGTTCTGTCAGTTTGGCAGATTTTGACCTTTAAAAATCAGTGAGAGAAGCAGAAGAAATGGACAAATAGTACAAAGGTGAAAAGGTAAAAAGGTAAGCCTCTGTGTGTGTGTGTGTGTGTGTGTGTGTGTGTGTGTGATATCTTTTAAAGAAGACTGCTGCTGCCAAAAATTTTTTTTGAAGCATGATGCTAGAGGAGTGTCATGCGGAACTAGGTGGGGGAAGCTGACACATTCGAAATAATTAGCTATAGATTCCGAATGCATCTGAGTAGAGATGGCAGGAAGGAAGGTCTAGCAAGAATCCAAAAAAAGTGTATAAGAAATAAATGACTCTTCTACACACTGATCTCTAAGGCAATTGCCCCATCTCAGTGGGTGTTTAATAAATCGCAATGATGGCAACAAAGCGGCAGTGTAACATAATGGAAATAAAATGGGATTTAAATGCTGAAGTCCCAGTAGCTGTGACACTGGGCAAGTCACTTCATATCTTTTGAGCCTTGCTATCTTTATTTATAAAACGAGATAAAAAAAATATCCTCTCTATTTCACAGTGTAGTTGAGAGAAATATTAGTGAGAGTCCTTTGAAAAAGTTCATGTGTGCTGAGACTAGTGGCTGGAATACACAGAAAAGGGGTTTCTGTGTTGCTGGTAACATCTGCTTCTTGGTCTGATGCTGGTTACAGGGGTGTATTTACTTTGTGAAAAGTGAGTGAATTTTGTGCATTTTTCTGTATGTGTATTATACTTTCCTTAAATGTTTACTTTTAAAAGTTAGAACAGCTCAAAACAGTTTTAAAATTAGGATCATGATGATGATGATGATGACGATGAAGGCAAGGAAACTTATAAATGTGGGTCTGAGCTCACAATCTATCCTCATTTCTCTGCCTAGCCATCATATCACACCTGGAGACTCGGGACTTAGAAAGGGATTGGTGATAATAATCAATTGTTTTCTCTCTGTGTTTTGGTTGTTACTGAATACTGTTTTCCTGGTTTAAAAAAAAAGAAAAGGCAAAAGGAATGAACAAGGAAGTTTCCTGCATGCCAGAGGGGTCAACAATAAAAAGCAAAGAGCCCAAGCTGTTCACATCAAGGGAAAGATGTGATTAGAGAGATGTAACATGCAAAGAAATTATCTGAAAAGTGAATTTAGTTGGGAAAGTATAAGCCCCAAAGAGCCTTGAGCAGCTGGTCATGATCAGATTCTCCATCTTTCTGTCAAATGTAATCATATCCGAGTTGGCAGGGTATTTATTGCTAAAGTCGAAGGTCCAGATTTTACACTAAACATATTTACACATTTACATTTGTGGCCCTATAAACACTCCACGTTTCACTGGCCATGACATCAAACACATTTACCAACAAAAAGCATATGCCTAATTACAAAATCATAGGGGAGAGGGAAGGCAAGTGGCAGCTGACTGGCAATGAGTGTGTGTGCCTGTGTGTGCATGTGTGTAACCCAGCTGCAACACCAGGAAACCGGTAGAGACAAGAATGGATGCTGACAATGCCCGGCCCTCTTCACTTGTCCTCTGCTCCCCAGGCCTGTCTTGTCTGGTTCAGTTCTAAAAGGGGAGAGGGACCCCTGGCATTCCAATTAGACCCAAGGTGACCCCCTGGAGGAGCCCAAAAACAACAGGGTTGTTCCTAGGCAGATTTCTGATTTGAATTGAGTTTGATGCTGTTATGATCTGTAAAGTTGCCGCCAAATGACTTTTTTCAGTCAGTAATAAAAACAGGTGTGAGTACAATGTGTAGCCAGCAGAGAATTTAAAATCTAAAACTAAAGTCTTTAATTTCTGGCTTTGGGTAGTAAGATCATATCCCTACCCATCAATAGCAGTTGTAATAACACCGTTAGTTGCTCCAAGCTTGGTTCTCAGTCAAGCAAGGAAATCAGAGCCACCAGGGCCATAGAGAGGAAAACAAAACCGGCACAACCACTGGCCTCAAACAGCCTTTAATAAATGACACAGGCTGGTATTCCATCAAAATAATCACCTTCCATCAGAATAACCACCTCCCCCAGCTCTCTCAGAGGACAGGCTACAGGAAGAAATGGTGGATTAAAATATATATATATACTGTGAAGGGCAGAAGCCTTTCTCCCAAATGAGTTTTGATAATACATATACCCAAAATTTTAGTTCCATCAGCAGAAAGTTTGGGTAGGAAAGGGCCCTTGAGCAGGGTACAAGTAAGTAGAGATGTGCTGACAGACACATCAGTGAGTAAAAAATAGGGAGAAAATTGGTCCTCACATATTTTTCCTTCTCCTCCCCAGTTTCTCTTTTTCTTTTCTTTTTTCTTTTTCTTAAGAGGAAAGGAAGTGGCCCTTAAATAAATGCAGGGATGGAGATGGAGAGTAAACGCGTTGAGCAGAAGCACTAGCTTCTTATTTTAAAGAAATAAAATAATTACCCAATAGAGAAAAAAGAATTCAACCAAGAAACAATCTAAGGTCATGACACCATGTGTGGTACAAGGAGCAATTCAATCCATAAGGGCTTCATTACCTCCGCAATAGATAACATTTGGCTAAATCTAGCTGCAGATTAAATCTCCGCGGCACAACAGAGCCCTGAATGGAGAGGCTCCTTTTTGTGTGGTCCTTCTCGGGATCTGCCCAAACCATTAGCCCCAATATATCCCTCTCCCTATTAACTGCAATTCCCTCCCGACTGCGCTTCGGTCATTTGTCTCCAGGCTCTACCCGGGCGTTTGATGAGCAGAGAAACGAGGAGAAGGGGAGAAAAGCGTCGGGTTAATGAGTTGTAGCAAATCCACACTTTGTAGTTGGGAGGAGGAGAGCTGGTGGCCAATGTTTGTCCAACTGGTTTATTTTTCGAGACCCAGCCATTGAAGAAGGCTTGTTCAAGCAGGCTTCATCCTTACAAACACACAAACATCCTTCTGTTTGCCTTCAAAGAAAAGGGGACCAGAACTGGATTTGCATGCGAATGAGGAGCCCCGGGAGGAGACCTCCTTGCCCATCAAAGGCCACGGTAGCCAGGCGGCCTTTGTTCCAGCACCTGCTCGTCCGCGCGGCCAGACGGGGCGCGCCCCAGCTTTCGGCTCGCGGGGTCCACGTCCACAGCCCAGGGTCCGATCCTCGCCCGCCCCGCGGCCCTCGCCCGCCCCGCAGCCCTCGCCCCGCAATCCAGAGCCCACTCCGGCCACAGCACACATGTCCCCCGGCCTGCTGGCCAGTTCGGAAGGGCCAGCAAAGCCCACCGCGGAACCACAAACCGGGAGGGTGGAGCTTGACTCGAAGGACGCAAAAATCGACTGAGGCAGGGGGGTCGACTTTACTTTTTCTTATGGCTCAGGCCTCAAGATACGCTTGGTGGTCTCTCTAGCGGGTGCGGACAAAGCGGGACCGAACCCTGGGACCTGGAGCGAGGCCCTTGCTGAATCGCCCAGGGCCTACCTGACATTCCCTTAAGGGCACTGGCAACCTGGAAGGTGGGGCCTGTTCTGGCACTTGTTTTTAAAGATGCGGGAATGTGCACTTAAAGAGGGATTGGCTGGGATCCCCTGCTTTCAGGACTTCCAAGCCTCCTGCAAATAATGACACACGCGTTCTTTCGCTCTCCCTTCATCATTACTTTCAGAACAGTCAGATCTATGCGTTACGGAGGCTGTGAGGTGCACCAGCTGTACCTGTGCCGCTTGGGTTCCGCCTGCTGACGCCTCTCCGCCCCGGCGGCAGTGGCATCGCGTGTCCTTGGTTCCAATGGCTCCTTTCTTTTAGCCGGGCTAGAATAAAAGTAACTTTTGCATAAAAGATTTTTATCTCATGATACTTCAATCTGTATCTATATATTTAGTGGTAAATTTGAGGGTGAATGTGTTTACTTTAAACTCATTTAATCTTCCAAACATTTCACGGGGGGGGGGGGGGGAATGGAATTAATTTTGAGTCTGTGAGTCAGTTTTTTCCTTTCTAAAAATAAATGAGAGGACAGGGCGTCAAGAACACATGTCACTGCAAAATACTGGCCTATAATTCAGTCTTCACTAATTTGCTAGGTTAAATCTGCAGATCTTTGGATATATACCTGTTCAGATAGTTGAAAAAATTAATAAACAGGTTTTACCTACTCTGCAATTCACTGACATTTAAATTACGTATTCCACATGCTCTGGTTTTATTTAGAACCCTCAATAGCATCAAAACCAGTCTCACATATTTGCAAGATCTAAAAATTGCCTGCAGCAAGTAGTTTAACAAAACACAAAGAAATTTTTAAGATAGACCAAATTATCTAAATTGTATAAATATAGATAGTTCAATAAACACCTGATGCATTTTCATTTTTATTATTTATTATTCATTTAAACTAGAACGTTGATGTTTGCCTTTTAGGATATAAACTTCTTTATGCAGTAACTGGGATCCCTTCTGTTGAGAAAATAGCAGTTTTAAATACCAGGACTTACATATACAACTTATTTTGTATATGTAAATATTTTCTTATTCAGGACTTTAAGGCTACTTAACTGATGATCATGTCTATTCAATTTTTAAAACTAAAAATTACCTACTTGCTTCTGTTGCTTCCATTATTATATAATACTATGTTGCAGAGTTTTTACAGATATATACAATATTGTGCTCAAATGTGAGTGGAAACTGCTTGAAGTGGGAAGCTCAAAAGTAAAATGAGAAGTTCTATAATATTATCCTAGGGTAACTGTGTTTTTAATTTTAAACAGCCTTAATGCTCATCAAAATGCAACAGAATGAGATTTGAAAATGTATACCAAAGTGACTTCTTTTATTTGTAGTCATTTAAAAATAACTTCTGATCTCCTGCAATGATGCTTTGTTAAATTCTCTTTGCAAATAATATATGTCTCTTCTATAATGGGTTCTACTTCTCTCACATAGCAACTTTTTTAAAAAATAGAAAATAAAGTAAACTAAGAAGGGGACGACTGAAGCCAATTCTTTTTGTAGGTTTTCTTTGAAAATTAAGCATTTTATTTCTGAAAAAGTGTAAAAATCTTTACACTACAATAGAATGGTACAATAATTGCCAGTAAAATTTACAATACTCCTTGTAAAGAATACGCAGTAAGTACAAAATAAAAATTCCGCGTGTCTATTATGATACAAAACACAGGTTAAAATAAGAAGTAATTCTGACTTTTTTCCTTGTGTAAACATGTTAATCATTTTTTTCCTTTTATGAAAAAGTACACCAGACAAGTGTCCTCAAATAAAAACTATTGCTTCGCTGGCATTCTGCGGGACCTTTACTATTTTTGTATTCGTCTTTTGAACATTACTTATTTTTTAACGCCTGGACCTGAGACTCTCTAGACCTCAAAAAGGCTTAGAATTTTTAAGATTTCCCAAAAGTCAAGGAAGCCCCTTGCGCCTAGACAGGGCAGAATCCACCAGCACCCTCTTCCTCCCCACCCGGGCCAGAGGCTGCAGCTTAGAGAGACTTTGCATAAATAGAGAGACCTGCAGAGCCAAAGAGCGCGCTGAGCTGTCGCCAAACAGTCTCTGTGGATCCGAAGCGGCGAAAATGGGGGCGTGAGGTCGGGAGGGGCCGCTCCAGGAGGACCGAACAAAACAGCAAACCACCAGGATGAAAAAAAGCAGCGGGATTCCTACCTTCTCTTTCTCAAGCGAGCTAACATAGCGTTATTAACAATTTGAAATTCTAGCGGTAAAGTTCTCGACACTGGACAGGGCAGTCCCTTGGTGCAGAGTCCCCAAGGCAGCCGAGGAGGAGACGGAGGAGGCGGCGGCGGCCGCGGCGGCCACGAGGGAGCGAGTGAGCGCGGCAGCGGGACCCACGGCCGCCTGAGCTGCGCAGCCGCCGCCGCCGGATCCGGGAGCCGACGGCGTCACCACCGGCGAGGGCGAGGCCTGCACGGCGGCGGCGGCCTGCGCGGCAGCGGCGGCGGCGGCGCCCAGGCTCCCCCCGATGATGCTCTCGATGGAGAAGGGCGAGCGCGCCAGAGCGGAGGCGCCGGGGCCGCCCGCCTTGGTCGCGGAGGCCTGCAAGGGACCGGGCAAGGCGGCGCCGAGCGGGTGCGGCCGGTAGCCGAAGGCGGTCCGGGCCAACTCGGCGGCCGCGCCGTGCGGCGGCGGGGGCGGCGGGGGCGAGTGCGGGTGGAAGGCGGCGGCAGCGGCGGCGGCGGCAGCAAAGAGGGCCGAGGGCGGCGCGTAGGGTGGCAGCTGCAGGCCGTAGCCGCAGCCGTAGGGGCCGTAGCCATAGGCATGCGGGGGCGGTGGCGGCGCAGGCGGGAAGAGCGCGGCGGCAGCCGCCGGGTCGCCCGCGCCCCCCGCGCCCCCCGCGCCGCGGAGCAGCAGCGACTCGGCGGCGGCGGCGGCGTTGGGCGGGAGCAGCGGCTGCCGCTTGAAGCGCTTCCTCCGGCGCAGGAAGCTGCCGTTGTCGAACATGTCCGCGGACTCCGGGTCGAGCGTCCAGTAGTTGCCTTTGCCGGGGTTGCCGGGCTCGCGGGGGATCTTGACGAAGCAGTCGTTGAGCGAGAGGTTGTGGCGGATGCTGTTCTGCCAGGCGGGGAACTTCTCCCGGTAGTAGGGGAAGCGTCCGCTGATGAACTCGCAGATCTCGCTCAGCGTCAGCCGCTTCTTGGGGCTCTGCAGGATGGCCATGGTGATGAGCGCGATGTACGAGTAGGGCGGCTTCACCAGTGGGTTCTTGGCGCCGCCGCCCGCGCTCCCGCCGCCGCCGCCGCCCGCGCTCCCGCCCCCACCGGTCCCGGCGCCTGTCGACGCTGCTGGGCCCGGGGGCACCGGGGAGCCCCCTGTCCGCGGGGCCAGCAGGATGTCATCGTCCTCGTCCTCCTCCTCCAGGTCCTCTAGCTCGTCCTCGCCGGCGTACGAGCGCCGCCGCCGCCGCCGCTGCGCAGGGACAGCCAGCCGGGGCTCGCCACCACCGCCCTCGTCGTCGTCCTCCTCTTCCTCGTCGTCTTCGTCCTCGCCCTCCCCCACTACGTCGATGTCTGTCTCCTCGGCGAGGCCGGAGGCATCGGACATCTCCGTGCTCAGGGTCATAGCTGTCGCGCTGCGGCGTTGAGGCGGCGCATAGGGGCGCCGGGCTCCGGGCTCCCGCCGCGCCCCAGCCCGGGTCCCGGGCGGCGGGCCCGGCCCCGGGGCGCCACGCTGGGGGCGCTGCCACTCGCCAAGCTGCGCTTCGGCGTTGCTCGGCGGCGGCCCAGGCTTGCGCTGCGACTTTGTAACTCCTGCGCCGCCTCAGTCTCCCCGCAGTCTCTGCGCTCCCTTAGCTCTGCGCGCACCGGCCCGGGCGGGGAACTTGACCTTCCCCTCTCGGAGCGCCACTGGCCGGGTCAGTTGAGGTGGTGGCAGGGTCCTGGAAGAGCAAGTCAAAGCGTCGGAACGCCCGGGAGGGTGCGGGACGGGTGAGAGTCTAGGGACAGACCTCGGCGAGTACTGGGCTGAGACCAGGAGAGGGCGGACCTTTACTCGGCTTATAGCAGAAGGAAGTCTGTCACATGGTGTGCACGTCAGAGCGCTACCGAGGGAAGGGAAAGCAAGCCTAGGAAATCAGCCCTGCTCAAGAGAGAAAGTTCATCCGTAGGAGGGAGCAGGAACTGAGACGAGAGAGCAGAAGAGAGGACCCCACCATTCCTTGCCAAAAGGGCTAAGACCTGAATTACAGGCTGGCCCGCAGTGGTCTGGACCCATGGCACGAGTTCGAGTTCCTAGCCTCCTTCCTTCTCAACCCTAACTTCAGAAGCTCTCCCATTACTCGAGACCACTCCACGGCCTGTAGAAGCCGTTCAGCCCAGGAATAATAACACTCCATCGTCTCAACTTGTTCCTGGGGAATAGCTCGGAGGTCTGTTAGGTTGTCCCATCTCCCCCAGACTGGGCGAGCAGCTCCCCATCGAATCTAATGAGAACCCCCTACCCAATTTAAGCACAATAATTGTTTATTGACCTTTTAACCTGTCTCCTTCAGTTCTTCTCCAAAGATGTTTTCCACCATCTGTTAATAAAAATGCTGTTAGGCTGGCGTTTTAGTCACTTATCTGCAATTGAATGCCCTAGAAACTTGACAGCTAAACTAAGCTACTCTAATGAGAGGATCTGAAAATGGTAATGGGAATAAAGAAAGTAATGATTGGGTGCTGAGAAGAAATAGAAACACTTATTGAAAACCCAAATACACACACATAAAATTGCACCTAGAAACTCAAAAAAAGTTTTTTCATAATGGGGTAAGGAACTCTATAGTTAGCAGTAAGAGGAACATTCTAATCAACACTTAACTGTAATCTCCAAATACTTAAATTGCTATAATTTATACATACATCTCTACTCAGATGGACTTAATAGAAATGACAATGATAAAAAATTTCAGATCCGTTTAAAAAATTTTTTTAATTCACTAAATATTTCCAATAGCTACTGGTGAAAAGAAACGAAACTTTGAAAACATTCAAGTTCTGACAGACAAGTTAGTGAGTGGAAATAATTCAAATATGATTCTAAGTATACTTATGTTTGTCATTAACTCTATTTTGGCTAGTGAAAAATTCTAATAGCTGTGGATTTCACACTCACATAATATCTTTTGGATGTTGGCATTTCCTAAAACACTTCTATTTCAAAGTGGGGAACTTGCCTCAACATTTTAGATTTCTGATTAAAATGACCACTTGACAAGAACTGAGGATCAAAACTCAATGGCTTTCTGTAGGAACAATCATCAGCTGCCCTTGTGTATATCATTTTATGAACCAAATACTTTTCACATTTTAAAACGTTTCGTTATTCCCCTTATCAATCACAGAGCCTCAAAAATAAACTATTCCCCCATTTAAGACTTCTTTTAAAATCGGGTTTTTGTTGCTGAGAACAACTACCAACCAGTTACACTTACAAATGACCCATAAAGTTCATCATAGATTTGAAAGATCTATGAAAATGTCCCAAAGTTCTAAATAAATTATTTTTCATTGACTCCCATTTGATATATGGCTGAACCGTTTAATTATTGTAAGGGGGTTTAGGATTAACCTGAGCCAACATTAATCAGCACTATTAATCAGGCATTACATTGCTTTGTTGATGTAGCCAAGAGTCCTTACCAAGGAGTTCACTTTTACATTTGAAAGTTTAAGTTTTATAAGTACTACTCAGTCGGTATCTAAATAAACACCATGATTTTCGTTGGACTGAGGGTTGATGTGTGGCGAAGTATTTAAAGATGAAACGGAGAGGAAGAATTTGTTTGCGGACCATTAGTTACTTCAGATGATCAGTTACAGCCGTCATTCCGTTGTTACCACCGCCCTGTACTCGTCTGGCCAAGAAGGGCGCAGAGATTGACCTGGCGTTCCGTTTGTAACTGTCTGAAGTTCCCTCCCCAAAGGGTTAAAGGGCTATTCCCTGAAAGAGTTTTGTGGGGGGTTTTGTTTGTTTGTTTGTTTTTTTAACGCGGCAAATTGTCTTCTTACCGTTCAGGAGAAAGTGTTAGGATTTACTGAAGGTCAGAACGGAAGATAACTCAGGAGGACCGCTGCAGCGACAGAGTGTTAACAGAGATTTGGGTGAGCTTTACTAAAGCCCCACATTTGGGCAGCCCACTTGCTTTATTTGTTTTAGTTAAGCTACACATTTGTGTGTGATTTTTAGCTCTGCGCTCGTAAAATTCCCCCAGCGCGGAAACCCAAGCGTTTCATTTCCCGCGCGTCCCCTTTTGCCCCCTCATCCCTCAGCCCATCGCCCTCCCTCCCTAACGCGCACCCAGATCTCGGCTGAGGCTGAGGCTGCTAGGAACGCGCTTCTCCCCCACTGCCCCCCAGCCCCAAGCTGGTACAAGGGACGAGACACCTTTCCTTGAGGCGGGCCAGGGACAACACGGTGACCCCACTCCTGCGTGTCCCGCAGGCGTAGACGCGGAAATTGGCGGGGCGCCTGCGACGCCGCATGGAGACCGGGTAGGGGAGGGCTGCCCCCTGGCGGAGACGCGGCGCCGCGGCGCCGTGCTGGCCCCGGCGCTGGCTGGGATCTGGAGCTCGCCAAGCAGCTGGCGTTTCGCTTCATTCCCAAAAAGCTTTGGACTCCCAAGCTGGTTTTTTTTTTCTCTCTCTCTCTTCTTTTCTTTTTCCTTTTCGAGGTCTCACCTCTCCTTTTCTGAGGCCACTGAACTGGCGAGGAGGCATTTTTTTGGACTGCAGAATGCGGTTGGTTTGGGCGCTCCAGGAGCCCCCCGGGGGCGGGGGGAGGTTACTGGGATTATGCGCTCCAAGAGCCAGGGAGGCGCTGCCTTCGCCCGCTGCCCTCGGCTCCTGCCCAAGAGCTCCGTAAGGTCCAGGGACTTCCCAAAATGGGCGAAAGCTGGCAGAGACCTGGGGTATAAACTCGCGGGGGCGGAAACCAGGATGGCTCCCTTCTAGGTCCCTAGCTCAGTCCAGGAGTTGACCCATGATCATCAACCTGAATGTGTTTCCGAACGGCAGATACTTTGGGTCGCGTTCCTCCTCGAAGAATCATTCCACAAGCCTTTATTGAGATGCTACTTTGGGGCTGGCACTCAGTTCTGGGGAGAGGAAGAAAACAGGAGTCCCTGGTAGAAGGATACTCACAGTCTCATGGGGGAGCCAGGTAAATAGATAATTATTATGCCCAATAAATGCTTTCTGGGTCCCCTAGCTGAGAGTGAGCTATGCTTCAGGGTCCCTGCCTGCTCCAAAGAATGTCTGCTCCATTCTTTCATCATGCACTACCTTCCATTGTGGCTGTACCTTCTCTTTTTGGACTCAAACGTCTGGAGGCCAAAAAAGGGCTCCTTGTGTTTGGCTGTTTTGGGTATGTTAAAACATAGATAGCATCAAATCTACCAATTTAAATGTACAGTTCAATCACTAAATACATTCACATTGGTGCAACCAGCAGCACTATTTCTAGAACTTTTCCATCATCCCAAACTGAAACTCTGTACCCATTAAAGAATAACTAACTCCCATTTTCCCCCACCCAACTCCACCTCCCAGGCTCCTTGGCAACCATGATTCTACTTCTATGAATTTGACTATTCTAGCTACCTCATTTGAGTGGAATCATACAATATTTGTCCTTTGTGTCTGGCTTATTTCACTTAGCATAATGTCTTCAAGGTTCATCCATGTCGTAGCATGTGGCAGAATTTCATTCCTTTTATAGACTGGAAAATATTCCATTGTATGGACACACCACATTTTATTTATCTATTCACCCATTGATGGGCATTTGGGTGTTTCCTCCTTTTTTGTTAGAACCTCCACTCGCCTAGCTCTTTGTAACACTCTGCACACAGTAGGCACTCAGTAAAGGTTTGTTCATTCATTTTCCTATACCCTTTCACCTCAGAAATCTTCAAAGGGAACCCCACTGCCCTAACAGAGCACACACATTGAAGTCACAGTAATGGTTTCTGCCATGCCTGTCTGAATCTGTAACCTCAACTTGCTCACAATTTTGAGACTTTCAGACTCAGACTGTACATTGTGCTCAGTAAAAAAGTAGGACTTAAAACTCCACCAAAATTAGTTCCAGACAAAATTGTGATAATCCCCCCCACACACACACACACACACACATCCCTTTTATACCTTATTACCTGCCTTAACACTTGGGGGCCCAAGATTGCCTTAAACATTTTCTCTGGTTGTCCAGGACCTTTCACTTAATATTCTCCTGTGATGTAATATTACCTGGCATGAATGTTGGTTCACACGTGCCACTAAACTAATTTTAAGGTCACAATAACTGGTAAAGTGGGTACCTCCACATGACGGCTGAGGAAATAGGTTCTGGTGGTTGCTGCTAGCTGTCACTGAGGTAGTGATGGCAGAGAAGAGCCTCCTGTTCCTGTGTTCCTTGAGAAGCCCCTTCCAGTGCAGAACACCAGTACCTTGGGCCATGCTCTTTCCACTCCCTAAATCTGTTCTTCAGGGCCAGTTAGGTAGTCTGAAAATAAGTTCAAAGCAAGATATAACTGGCTGATAAAGGTTGGTACCTCTCTCAAGAGCAGGCACATTTTAACCTGGGAATTCTGTGGATAAAATGCCCTAAATCCAGTTTCAAACGGTGGGTCTGCAGGCAGTATAGTGGGGAGGTGAGACTCCTTTGTGAAGAAGCTATTTTGGTGGCCTCCTGGGTCTTACTAGGCAGTCTGTGCTTGCACAATAGCTCCTTAAACAAGCATTTCATGGCCTGAGCAGGATTCAGAAATCCTCAAGAATTCAGAATGTCAGCAAAGGTCTAAATCTATGTTTTTATAACAGCACAATTATTTACACTGACTCAGGAATTTTCATTACCAGTTAACCTGGACTAGCCCTCTCACCCCAACACATACCAACACAAAGACTTATTTAGCTCTGGATCTCCGTGGTTTACAGTAGCACACGTTTATATTTTGTACTCCAAAATCAAAAGTTCAAAAGG